CTTATTTGTTCCAAAAATTGTCCAAGGACTTATTTAACATTTTTTGAAATGTCCAAGGACTTATTTGTTCTAAAAATTATCCAAGGACTTATTTAACATATTTTGGAATGTTCAAAGACTTATTTAACATGTTTTGAAAAGTTCAAGGACTTATTTGTTCCAAAAAAAAGTTCAAGGACTTAATCATTCCAAACAATAAAGTTCATTGGTTTTTATTGTACTTTTCCCTTACAAATTTTATAGAATTTCAAAACCCAGCTCACCCCAACCTGTACGTATAGGACCAAATTTTAATTTATCTAGGTTTTTATTAATTATAATACAATTACTTCAAAAAGTATTTAATTTTTTCACATTTTTTTGTATCATTTAGGAATACTAAATATTTTAGAAACACAGCGACAACATATTTTGTGATTATTCATTATTCATCATGAATACTCACAAAATAGTTATCTCTGCGTTCCTAAAATATTTAAGGTTCCTAAATGAACCTGCTCCTATCTATATGTATAACTGGGCGGGCTCGTGACCAGATTTTGGACCGACCCGATGGGACCAGGTAAGATCCTAGGATTTTTGGTCGGGACCAGACCAATTCGGCCCGATTTTTAAAGGAACTATTTGAGACAAGGACAGAGTAAGGAAATGGTAGAAAACATCAATTTAATACAACAATGAGTCACCCTCACAAGAGATCAAGGGGGTAGACAACTTTAAATGACAAAAAATGAACCCCAACTACTAATCCTCTAAATGTTCTATGGAGAAGTAACCCCAACAAATTAATACAAATCATGTTTTTGGATAATCAATCATAATGGGATTTAAACCAAGATTTACGTTTTGACGTAACCACTTAACGGTAGTTGATAGAAAAACATGCCTAGCTCGTTTTCGTCTTCGAAATCTTTCGTTGTTGCCGCAGGGATATCGAGTGTTTCATCCCTATGAAAAATAGCAATGCTCCCAGCAAAGCCATATTCTGTTTTCACAAGGTTAAAATCTGAATTCAACACTACCATTCTTTCAAAAGATCAACAACCATTTACAAATAAAAGTGGTCAGGGTGCATTTTGTACGCATATGAGACCGAGGGGCTGGTTGGTTCCTTTTCCATTAGGTCATGTATGGATAAGCTGCATGTGTGGAATAATCCATCTGTATAGACCGGGAAGGTTTTTGTTTGGAGGGTTTTTATGAATGGAATGAGCGTGTTTTTTAATTGGGAGGGGCATGTTTTGAAAAAACTTGGCTTTCAACATAAACTCCCCTAGAAGCTTACTGAAAGGGGCATTTTCTATATCATTAAGCCACTACCAAACAGTCATGTATAGCTAACCGAATAAGCTACGAGTCCCGTTAAACTCATTAACCTGCTAACAAACAGGCCCTGAGACGGGACGACAAGATTGACATAGGCGGGTGAAAGAATTGTTGGAAGGTTTTTGGGTTTTAATTTGACATGGATGGTTTAGTAACTTACAAATCTTATCTCGTCCCCCTAATTTTTGTTCAAATTGACCAAAATAGCCAATTCCCCAACCAAGTTCACTTTTTTAGCCACTTCAGGCATCAAATTCCCATTTTAGCCAAAGTTTACGCAAACGCCTTGTGCATTTACGTAAAGCATATTTTCGGATTCAAAAAATAGAAGAAAGAAGAAGTCTTTATGCAAAGGATACTTGAGCAAATTCGTTACTCAAATTACGCAAATTTGCATAAAGATTTTTTTCTTTTTAATCTGAAAATAGACTTTACGCAAATGCGTAATACCCTAGCTAAAATGGGAATTTGATTGAAAAAATAGCTAAAAAGTGAATTTGGTTGAGGAAATTGACTATTTTTTGGTCAATTTCCCTGTCATGTCAAAGTCTAATGTCGCACCACACGTAAAACAACAGATTATTGTTATGTCACATCCCGTCCTGCCCGTCAAACGCACCCTCAGGGGTTATAAAAGAGCATAAGTTCTTGCTAACGGGACTAACCCAAGTACTTGCTAAATGCAAAAAAGAAACACTAAAGTATACCAGAGTGAGTGGTTTTAGACGCTTCAAAGGTTAGTTTGAAATGAAACCACAGGTATAACGGATAGAAATTAGACTCTCATTTTTGTATACTTTAGTTTTTTTTTTTTTTTTCATTTTAGCAAGCAAGCAAAATGCTCCATTTATAAAAACACTACATATATAATGATTAGAAACCCATTTAACTCGAAAGATAAGGAGCTGAAAGGGACACTAACCTCTGTGAATTTAGTAAAAAGTTGACCGAATTCTGTGTCTTCGACGTCATAGTTGTAGAAATCATACAATACAGGTGTGAAAATAAGCTGGTGCAGAACCTGTATGCAAATCAAAGAATTACAAACTTCAAAAATTATGTGAACCAACAATTGCAAGCTTTAGTGACATCAAATATTTGTGGAACATGGTTAATTACCAGCAAAATTGAACCGGCATAGCTGCCAAATATGAAACCAACGCCACCAAAGCCTTTAAGAACAATCGCAGCCAGAACTACATGTTTGGTCTGTTTAAAACAAAGCTCAGTTGTAGTTAAATAAACAAAATACATTTTGGAATATAATCATATATCAATGTTTAGTAGTTTCAACTTCTGTGGCACAGTATTTACTCTCACAAGTTTTTAAATTTTAACAGCACCCACTCAAAACATTGAGGTTCAAAATTCCAAATTACAATAGATGTAGGAGGGGATGTCACATATGAGGTCGGTGTAGATAAAAATCACGGATGAATGACCCATTCACTTGTAGAATCAGTTTTACTCGGTGAGTAGAACTTCTATGTTCCTTTACATCTTAGCTTAAGAAAAAATCGTGAATAAAATTTCTAATGAGTTTTACTTGCAGGGAGAATTGATAATTTGTGTGCTAGTAAGAAGAGAGGTGTTTAGGCTCCATCACTTCCGGCCATCTTTTCCATTATCCACTTCTATTTTGAGGGTCTCAATTCTCATTTCCATAATACGAATGTAAATGAAGATGGGACTCAAAATGGTGATGAGAATTGAAGGAAAATTTATAAAACAAATGGAAAAGTTGAACTTTTCAATGTATAAACGCACCACATAATTAAAGACAGAGAGATCCTTACATCAATTTCAGGAACTTGTATGCCAACTTTGGAGGTAATTAACTTAGTGAACACATTAAGTTTTGGTTCAAGAACCTTCACAGCCGGGCCTCCATCAGTTCCAAACTCATGATACCTAAGGAGATGAAATCAACGTCAACACCTATGACCCTGGAAAGAACCTAAAAGCGATTGCATATAGATCCACTACAACATAAAAAAATTGAAGGTTCTTTATTTTCCCCACTCGCAGTCAGCTTGGTAACGCAGAGAACCATTCTTATGTTTTCAACTTGCAGTAAAAAAAAATGTAGTCCCAAAAGCAATAAGAATCTTATATATTAACTAAAGAGAATTAGAAAGAAATACATGAAGAAAGATAAATAATTTTTTTTGCAGGGACACACCAGTCCCATAGAACCCACCATTGTTGTAAAAATGCTAAAGAAAGAACATCATAAATTCTAGGAATGAGTAGTTATGTTACAAAGTATGAGAAAGTAAATGAAAATAAAACCATCATCATTGGCATTTTGCTGAAATTAGCTCATTACTGCAAAATATGGTGTTCTTTTTGGGATTGATGGTTTGTTTTGCAACAATTGATGGTTCGAAAAGTCGATAGCTCTTAAAATTCATACAGCTCATTGTAACTGCATTAAATGCCAAAACTTAAAACATTGTTTCTATATTTACTTTATGTATACACACTACAATTTCGGTTCACTAAGAAAACTAAAGTTGCACAAGGATATCTAGAGCTGGTGGCTTTTGAAACCATTGTATTTGGCTTTTCGTTACAAACAAACCATTGTTTCGAAGAAGAATGCAAAAGAAGAAACACAAACTTTTCTGCATTCACATTTTCATAATTTATCCAAACCTAACCATAGTGTTCCTTTGGTGTTCTTTTGGGAAAGATGAATGATTAGATTGCACCAAAAAGTCAATAGGATGGTTCAAAAATTCAATCCCCCAATATTTTAAAAATCAAAGCTTTTTTAAAGGCAGCAACAGAAAATTCAAAACTAAAGCAATTAGCAAGCAAAGAATCAGTAAAACTAGATCCGGTACAGCATATCAAGAAATCAGAGTACATCCAGTTGATAAGCAGAGAGTATGATGAGGAAAAGTAAAGAGAAGCATCCCATTTCATTTCAGGCCCTAAAGAAAGCTCAGAATTATCTTTCTTTCTCAGAATTGACACATCTATGTAAAGACGATCTACCGAACTTCTAATCTACGTCAAAGTCACAGTCATCCTGGCCATCAACATCCATGATCTGTCAAAACTTCGTATTTTCGTGTTCGTTTCACATTTTCTCAACATAATGGTTTGTCTATAACGTATACTAGTTCGAAAAGTCAATAACCAGCTCAAGATGATCGGCCATCAAAATGTAAAAACCTAGCACACAATTTCTCCATTTCCTTCAATTAAGCATCCATCAAAACTCCAATTTCTAAGAAAAATCAAAGCGAATACAAAGATTGAAGAACGAAAAACAAGAATTAAACTAATCAAGCAACTAATAAGCTAATAATCCATAAAAAACTAGATCCTAGCAGACAATTTCTCCATTTCCTTCAGTTAAGCATCCATCAAAACTCCAATTTATTAAGAAAATCGAACAAAAAACACGAGAATTAAATTAATCAAGCGATTAACAAGATAATAATCGATAAAAATTAGATCTGTGAAAGGAAAAATAAGAGATCAAAGTACCGACAGTTGATAAGCAGATAGTATGAAGAGAGAAGCAAAGAGAAGTCTGCCGACGAACAATGCGAACCCCATTCGGATTGGATCAAAACCCTAGATGAAGCTTCGAGAGTTGATGAATCTGATTTGAGAACACCTACCTACCAAGCTCCTTATCTTTGTGAAAGTCGCCGTCATCGTGGTAGTCATCGACGTCAATGATCAGTCAGATGGATAGCGAGAGGGAGAGAGAAAGAGACGGAGAAAACATATAAAACGGCATATTCCGTTAGTCTCCGTTACTCGTTAGGTATGGACAAAAACGTGTACCATCTGACCACATTTTTTTTGTAATGAATTTTTGATTTTTTACTCTTTCATTTTAATAAATTAACCGAAGAAATTAACCAAAATAAATAATCATTCCAATCAAATTTTTTAGTTATCTATATTATACTATAAAAACATTTGATAAATATTCTTAAAAATAATTTTTTATATATAAAATACTGATTATTGATGCATATTACTTAAAATTTAAGATTACAAATAGAACATACATGAGTACATCTTATTAAAGCTTCATGTTTACATCGTGTAACTAACTACAGATAAACATAATCAAATACATGATATGTTAAAAATCTAAAATATAATTAAGATAAACATTGAGTTCTAATAGAATACTTAATTATTATCTTAAAAATTATTTTATTAAAGCAAAAATAAATTACTTGGTTATTATGCTTCAATTAAATTAAAATAAAATAAATTAAATTAAAGAAATTACACAAAAACAAGAACTTTTAAATAGTTAATTTGATATTAATATCGATTATTTTTTTTTCAAATTTATATTTCATCAAAAAAATAAAAACATTTTCTTTTTTCCAAAATCACATAAAATCGCATTAGAACATCGATAGACCTAAAATATAAATCGATATATTAAAATCAAGATATATTTCGTTGCATTGCGTTTTAGTCTTTTCAAATAAATCCTTATTTTAATCAAATTTTACGCAAATGACTTACGTATTTATTTTCGTATTTAAAAAACAAAAAAATAACATTTACGTAAATTTACGTTGTATAAGAATCTCTTAATTTACGTAATTTTTTTAATTTAAAAATAGGTTTTTCGTAAATGTGCAAAACATTAAAGTAAAGTTCGGTTAAAATGGAAATACGATATGAAAAGTGTTTAAAAATGAATTCGGTTGATAAGCTCAACTATTTTCATGAGTTCGTCTGAACAATAAATTACATGTTTGGTCCTTGTGATAAGCAAAAAATTATGTATTATGTTTTTATATCAAAAAAATTACAGATATTGTCATGTGCATGCATGTTCATGTTCATGTTCTTATGGAATAGGTCCCTCTCATTAATGTCATCCATGTTTGATCGTTGATCGTTAAGTGATTGTTAGTTAAATGATTGTCATTTCAATAGTATTTTAGACATCTTACGGTTTTTATTAAAAAATGAAATATTATATATATACACACACAAAGCACGTGAGTGTAGCTGCAACTAGGGTTGTAAGCGAACCGAACGAACACGAACGGTAAACGAACGAAAATCTTTGTGTTCGTGTTCGTTTATTTAGAAATAAGGTGTGTTCGTATTCGTTTATGTTTGTTTGTTAACATGCTAAACGAACGTAAACGAACATAAACAAACGAGCTAAACGAACATAAATAAATATTATTTGAATTCAAAATAAATAAATAAAATATTATATATTAAATTTTATATATAAACGAACATAAATGAACGAACGTAAACGAACGGTAAATGAACGAACGTTCACGAACATAAATGAACGAACAAGACTCTTGTTCATGTTCGTTCATTTAACTAAACGAACTTCTCGCCGAACGGTTCGCTGAACGTTCGGTTCGTTTACAGCCCTAGCTGCAACGATGCACCAGAACATAAATTTGTCGAATATAGAAGTCCCAACTGTATTGCAAAAAGAGGGAAAAAGTCATAGGTGACAAAAAAAATGCTACATACGTAGGGTTTCTATTCAAACTACACTAGAAACGTACCCGCGCAATGCAACAAGATACATCATGATTTTAATATTTTATTTTATTTTTTATCTCAGTCGATGCTATAATATGATTTTATGTGATTTTGAGAAAGCAATAATATTTTTATTTTTGAATAAAATATATTTTGAAGATATCATAAAAATTTGACAAAAATATATCGATATTAATATCAAATTAACTATTTGAAATTCCTCATTTTTTATGTAATTTTTTAATTCAATCTTTTTATAATTTAATTTATATACAATAACGAAGTAATTTATATTTGATTTAATAATATAATTTTTTTATAAAGATAATAATTATTTATTTTGTTAGAACTTGATAATTATTCTAAGCAATTACCAAAAAACCATATATCATTTTCCACATTATCATAAAAGCCTTTTAATCATCTTACAGCAAACCATTCGTAACCATGTAAATATGCTTAGCTCAGAAAAGTGTATGTTCAAGTGGCTCCACTCAACTTCCCCTGACCAGTAAAGTTTACTCAAGCTTTCGAACTAGTAGGGTCAAACATTGATGTTATGGAGTTTGATAACATCAATGTTTGATTCGTTAAGTTAAGCAAACTTTACTTTGTGTTCCATATCGACTCAATCTCCATAATGATTAAACTCGAGTATGTCGTTAAAAGATCAACTTGTTTACACCCCTAGTTTCACCCATTATGTTCCATCATACCAATCGTGAAACAGCAATCTCCATCTCGGTTCACGGTTTATGTCATAAACACATCCTTAGAAAGAGTAGACCAACAACATTGTTGCCGAGAACGAAAAGAAATATAAAATGAAAACACGACTAGAGAGAATGGTTTCCAAAATGGTGTGGGGTGTGTGTTTCACCCCCACACCAATTTTGGTAACAGACTCAAATGAACTTGCCAACCTGTGTGAAATACGTTTACGTTCATATTTCTGCAGCCTAAATCTGAAAATCATGATTCCTTTGATCACAAATGACACAAAAAACGAAAACTACAAAACTCGGTTCAAATGAAAGAGTTGATGAATTAAGAGAGCGAAGATCAGATAAAGCTAATACATTGTCGCCATCATATAGGCAATCAAACCAATAGGGAAAACAATTTCCATCATCATCTCAAGCTTTGAAACCTTTAAATCAAACGAGATAAACTGTAAACTGATGATTAAAATCAGTATTTATCACCAGAAAACTTCAAAACTCGATTCAAATAAAAGATTCTATGAATTAACAGAGCGAAGATCAGATAGAGCTAATACATTGTCGCCATCATATCGGCAATCAAACCAATAGGGAAAACAAGTTCCATCATCATCTCAAGCTTGAAAACTATAATCAAACGAATATAAACAATTGCTGTCTAATGATTAGGATCTATATTTATCACCGAAAACTTTCAAAACTGAATTCGAACAAAAGAATCGATGAATTAACAGAGTTTGATCAGATAGAGCTAATACCTTGTCGCCATCATATCGGCAATCAAACCAATAGGGAAAACAAGTTCCATCATCATCTCAAGCTCGAAAACTATAAACCAAACGAATATAAACAAT